GTATGACTTCATTTCAATCAGAATTTCCTCAAGGCATAATGCTGCAGTATTGTTCATTCAGAGAATAATCCCAGAACTGCTGACTGAAAATTGTTTTTTACAGTTTTCCAGGGAGATATAAAGTATACTTATGAGCAAAGTGCTAAGTAGAATGACTTAACAGCACTCAAATTCCCAGTAGCCTGTGGTTTAAAACTGAGCAGTAGCTTCAAATAAACACAAAAGGCAAGAAAAAAGGAAAAAGGTCCTCCTTTTAAATTGTTTTTCAATGGGATGAAAAATATAAGGGTACTGAACAATCGATGCACTGAGCTGAAATAGACCTAAATAAATAAATAAATAACTGAATGAATTTGCCTCCTACAAGGAAAACAGACAAAACTTTAGCTCACACATCTCTATACATCACTTTTTACAAAGCTGGTTCAATTAAACTATTTCAAAATTTCTTCCAATTGCCAAAAATACAACATTATCTTTTCATGCTATACATTTTACTTACGGTATTTATAAAACAGTATGTAAATTTGGAATAGTAGATCCATATAGTAGTATTATTCTCAATAATAGGATTTATAAAATACTTTTACTACTTCAAATTGTATTCACAATTATTAAAATTTTAAGTATTTCTGATAATTTGAATTTCACTTATCTGTTCTAAGTCTCCAGGAAAGAAGGAATTGCAGAGTTACTCTTAAAAGAAAATTAAGCTCAATTTGGATATGATAACCAAAAGTAAATTTGGCAACAGATAAAAACCACATATGGTAGAGTGTACATATATACATGCATAAAATTTTCTAAAGTAAGTTAAAAAAAAACACTTCAACAGATCCCTATCTTATAAGAACCTTTGTTTTGTTTTGTTTTTGTTTGTTTGTTTGTTGTTTTGGCTGAATTTACTTGGTGATCTCTCTTCAGGAGGATCTTCCCTTGCTATTCGCATGGCTAACTTTCAGTATCCAGGTTTCAGCTCAAATGTCGATTAACTCTTGATTACTTGAAAGATTATAAGAGGGAAATTAAAGTGGGATTCATAAAATCCATAAGTCTTGATTTTGAGTATTAGTGTCTATCTCAAGAAATATACAAAGAAATGAAATGATCAATTTAAAGTAATCCTAAAGTGATATGCAATGGCCAAAGGACAAGAAAAGCAAAGGACGGTAAGGATTCAAAGCCTGCATAATTAATTGGGTAGGGATTACAGTAGTGTGGCAAGCTAGAAATGATACGTTGATATCATTTCCAAATTAACTTTTCCTTCTTAGTTTTTAAAGAAAAAATAAAGATTTTGATGTTTTAAATTAATTCAAGTGGTCTCCTTAAATTTTGTAATGTAATACAAATACATAATAACTCATAAGAATATACCTTGTTTATATATAAAATGTTAAGCTTAAGACATGATATAATTTCTCTTCTAAAATGAAACAGCAAATACTCTTTCTCCATACCTGTGTTCAGATAATCATAAATATGATTCACTTCAATATCGTGGATATTATTCAATTACATTCAGACGTACACATTTCTTCCCTTTCTTCCAAAAGGTCATCTCACCTTGCACTTTGGACACTTCTGGGCATTCCTCTGCCCATGCTCGATCTCGCTGGCCCAGTGACGCAACAGTTTGTCTCCTTTTTTGTACTCCTTGCAGTTAACACCTTCATGCCAAGGAGAGTGGCACTTGAAACACCAGATGAATTGGCAAGTGGGGCACTGGATCTGTGCAAAGAAAAATAATATTAAGTACTAGTAGACAGACTGAAAGAACAAGAATGGAGGTGCTTGGGAAGTTAGCAAAAGTGTTACAATTTAAAATGCCTCCTTTT